GACATTACAGATAATCATTATCCCTATACTTATATATACAATTAGTTTTTTAATTGTTTTTGTATCTAAACAAAATTTAACGGCAATGCTAGTGCATTTTTGTACCAAATATCTAATATTCCTATTCATACAGTCATTATTATAGTGGAATAGAAGTTACTTTTTATAATAATAGTATGAGTTCTTGTAAGAAATTTTCAGGAATAAGATTTCCAAAGGAAAAATATTTGTTCCTGGCGGAATAAAGGTTATAGAAAATCAATATTTGCTTTTAACATAGATTCCAGAGAAATTGATTATACCTGTTGCTTGTGTTATTGAACGGAAAAGCAATGTAGGTCGATCTATGTTAAAGTGATCACTTTCGATAGATGAGATCAGCTAGAGAAGAAATGGTTGATCTAACCATTGACAGTTAATGCCTAGCTTTGTTCAGCAATGTATATTTTTGATCAACACTGATGCAGTGTTCTCTCGGCAATCTCTTTCTTCAAATGGAATTGAGAATGGAAACAGGGAATTTCTCAAAAAGACAAAAACTCGACCAAAAAGCAGAAAACAGTCCAAGGCCACCAATTGGTCTTCAACGCAGCGAGAATATCCCGCATCCGGAGGCAGGCTTCAGCTGGCCCCTGAAAACAATGTAGACTAGTTCTGCGAAATAGACGCTCAACTACACACCGAAACATATAAATTAACCAAAATTTAAAAAGCACACAAGACTAACAAAAGCTAGAGGTTCCAGATTTGGGACAGCGCACACAATTTAATTGCGGCGGGGTCAACATATTTTGTTAGATCTCAATCCTCCCCTTACACCTTTAGCCAATGTGGAGTATATACTAGTAAACAAACACACAGCAATACGCACAGTAAAACTCAGTTTAAAAGAAGTCCGAGTCCGATGCTAGAATAGGTAACAGACGAAATTGAGAAAAATTACAATGACAAGCAAGAATTAACAAAGGACTACTAGCAGTTAGAGACATGCCAGCTCCAGACCTCATTTAAACAGTTTCAAAGATTGTGTCTTCATCATATTAAAATCAAACACAATCCCTCCCTTTAGGGGTTTAGTATCATGCCATCATAAGTTACACGAGAAGAACATAATCCGTATCATGCGAACAACTAATTTTAGAATACATGTGTTTATTTTCGATAAGTGAATCAATGTTAATTCCCACAAATGCCATCTTTAATGACTTGACAAGAGTATCGGAAGTATATCCCTTCTGAATAAGTCTGTTTAAAGGTTTGGTTAGCTTTTGTGGTGAATGACGACATTTTTGTACTTTGAATAGAACATTACCATAAAAGATGGGATGTGAAATACCTGAACGTATAAGATGTCTGCACGTTGATTTATATTTACGAAAGATGTCCTTGTACCAATTACAAAATTTGGTCAAAGTTTTGACAAGTTTGTGATATCGAAAACTTTGTTGCAGATTTTGCTTCCATCGGGTATGGGCTATGTCATTTCAAATCAGAATAATTACATTAGATGTATGTTTCATTATAATACGTTATTCTGATTGGCTAACTGCAATCTCGCGTTATTCCTTAATCAACTTCATTACACAATGAAATTTATCATTCATGATGACACGAGGTCCCACAATAAAGTGCACAGGTAAATTAAATAAAAACTTGATAAAAATCGTGTTTTCATGATCCTAGCTAAAAAAATGCAATTATAAGTATTGAATGCTTGTTTTTGTAACTTCAAAGGGTTGTAAAAGCGTTGACCGTGCGCACATTTTTAGAATGAAGCGCTTCCGCGCTTCATACAAAATGTACTTCGGTCAACGCTTTTACACCCCAATGAAGTTACAAAAAGAAGCATTCAATTCTTAAATGAATACTTCATTTCACGCAGTACTTTTCCCAAGTTATACCATGATAACTTTTCTGGGGGTCTGGATGGTGTTTACAGAATACATACAATGGACACAAAGTGCAGAACAAATGGCTAAAAAATAAAAAGTAGAGAAAAAAATGGACCAAAAAAAAAAGTTAAGAAAAGAGAAGAATGGGTGCTAAAGTATAAAGAATATAGAAAGATGGGCTAAAAATATAAAGAAAAGAGAAAAATGGGCTAGAAAAAAGAATACAGAAATGAAGTACCCCCAATACACTCCCTCATTTGTACTTAAGATGCTAAAAATAGAGGGTTGACCTACTGAACGAGATTGGGAGATATCAAATCGAAATAAAATTAGGGAAATAATTACGCCAAATATGAATAAATATGGTATAATAACAATTAAAACAACAAATGTTTATAGCAAGATCTGTCAACATACGGACGAGAATTAATGAGAAAACGGATCTTATCTGCTGTCGAGTGAATATTAATTGGAAAGAATGCACAAAGGTTAGCACTTATTTCTGAAAAGGAAGTTTTACGACACATCTCCATATCCAAGATTTCCTTATTACTTCCTCTTGAGTATCATAAATAAAAATATTGATATGTAAAATTTATCTGACAATTTCATGTGTTCATACTTCTTTGTTTCTGGTGCTGTCTCACGACGTTAGTGATGTGTGTCCACATGAACATGACCATTTTTGGATTGATGGATAATATAATACAAAATGGAACCAATTTGGTGAATCATTAATAAACCAAAAAAAAAAAAAAAAAAAAAAAAAACGAAATAACAAAGCAGAAAAAAAAATTGTTTTTTTTTAACTTAAACAATTCTTCATTTAAATAATCTAAATGAACTGTAAACAATCACTCAACAATGAGTTTTAATTTTAAACCAAGATGAAATGCTACATGTATACTTTAACAAATTCCTATGTCGCGTTTTTTTTTTTACTTTACTAGCTCAAATAATTAAATTTTAATTATATCAATCAATGTGCATTGTGTCAACCGGTACTAATACTCTGTCAATCAATGTAGGTCTATACGGCAATTTTGTTCTGCATCAAATGTGTTGTTTGGTCGTTGTATCGAATACGTTTATGTCACATCTCGTTAAATCTCATATACGCATTGTTGTATTTGTTTAATGTTTGACTGCAGTCGACGGTGTATTTGCATGATAGAATTAAAATTAACCCCGCCAAATTCTTTATATACCTGTCTCAAGTCAAATGCCTGTATTCAGTGGTTGTCATTGGATGTTGTCCGTTTTTTTTTCTTTGATTGTTTTGTCATAATGGTTCACATGTTTTCATGTCGCCGTACCTTGACTGACAATACGGTATGGGTTTTGCTTATTGTTGAAGGCCGTACGGTGACATATTATTGCTTAAATCTAAGTTATTCTGACTCTGTTGGTTAGTTTTCTCATTGGTAATAACTCCGCATATCTCCTTATTTTATAAGGACGTTCCATAGGATGAAACTGTTTAATTCAACTTGGTATGAATCACACTGTGACACGTACAAGATATTCATTTTAAATGAAAAAATTTAGATGATAAAATTGAGAATGGAAATGGGGAATGTGTCAAAGAGTCAACAACACGACTAAAGAGCAGAAAACAGCCCAAGGCCACCAATGGGTCTTCGACACAGCGAGAAAATCCCGCACCCAGAGGCGGGCTTCAGCTGGCCCCTAAACTAAAATGTGTACTAGTTCAGTGAAAATGGACGTCACACTAAACTCCAAAACATATAAATGAACTAAAATTAAAAAAAACATACAAGACTTACAAAGGCCAGAGGCTCCTGACTTGGGATAGGCGCAAAAATGCGGCGGGGTTAAACATGTTTTGTGACATCTCAACCCTCCCCCGTGTACACATTATGAAAGTGTGGACACAGGAAACTAAATAATTAGACGTATCGAACGTTACAACTACGTGATTAAAGCAACAAGACAATCTAAATATGATTTACCATCTGGTTAAAAAAAACATAATGCCATTTTTGTTCTATTTTGACAAATGTTTCCATTTGGCTGTGCTGGACGAGTTCGTACATAGCCAAACCCGTATAACCTTACAAATACACTGTCAGTCTAAAAGGTACACTTTTGAATGAAACTGAAATGTTTGACATAAATGTTGGAGGTTTTGTGCATTACAGAACCTAGTTTAACCAACAACTTTAATTTGAAATGTTTGTTCGAAGTCATACATTTACCGTCATTCGTCAAATGTTCCCATGAATATTGTTTATCCCCACAACTAGCAGGTATAAGAACACCGATTTTCTACATTGTTTATACATGCATTAATTTTTCTTATGAGTATTGTTTGTTTATTCAGTATGTTAGTTTTTTGTACTTCATTTACAATAAACGTTTGCTTTATGAACACCTTATGGACACATTATGGAAATATAGTTAAATATGGATATATACCAAACGTGCTGCCTTTAAAGTAGTTTTGACCAGATTATTCTTCATTTGGTACGTCCAGGACTAATAGTTTGAAATGAATAAGATATACAGATACATGGTGATCTTTTTATCGTCTAACTCAGATATAAATAAAGAAAACATAAAAGTTTACCTGTTATTAATATAGCATTTATATTTTTAGATCATCATGTGTGTTTTTAAAGCTTCATTTGTCGAATTGAAAGATTTGAAAAGCAAAAGAAAACAACAGATTCTTCAATGAACTCAAATTTATAAATTTATTAACAATAACATCCCCCCCCCCCCCCCCAAAAAAAAAAAAAAAAATATTACAGTAAAATTTAACTACTTTTTTTTTACTGATATTATGTTTTGGTTTTGTTTTTTCATTAATTTAAGCTATGAATGTTATTTTATTTTAAAAAAGACATAATTCAAAAGGACGATGCAAAGCCAGTTGCTTGACAAAGATGCTTGGGTATACCTTATAATATTGCATAACACTGGAAAAACATCTGGTGGAGGACAGTAACATATAACGGACGATAACTCTTGTTTTTGAAAAAAAAACACTGGACTGTAGTGGAAATACCAAACCGGTCAATTGTTCAAAGCAAGCTAAATTATCAATGAAAGTGAGCTAAAATTGACGTTTTTATTCCAAACACCCACAATAACGACAAAACACATTGGGATATATTAGTTCTGGGCTTTTACAGACTTTGTGTGGCGTCTAATGGTTGAGTATAGGTGTGGCTAATCAGTACGGTGTAGACGTTTATGATGTCAAGGGCAAACAAAAATATTCAGAGGAAAATGCGTTGTTGTTTATAGTTTAATTTAGACACAATTAAGCACAAAGATGAGTATTTTGACAAACTGTCGGAAAACACCTTAAACAATCCAGGATCGTTTTATATGATCACTAGTAACTTACAATAACTATTAAAAAATGCTTGAAAAGTGGTAAATATAAAAAGCTATAATAGTAAAAAAATTAATGATACTGCATAAAGTGGCACGTGCAGAAAACATTCAAGTAGGACAAGGCAATTAGGTTTTCGTCGAAGCGTTGAGCAATTTCAAGTTGTCTTAAAGTTAACAGCATCGTCTAAAAACAAACGGAAACAAATACGTACATGATGATATCATCGTTGTCTTCAAACTTAAAACAAAGCTTTTGTTTTATTTGATGATTTACGAGGCATTTAATTATCAACAGTTGTTGTAATAAGTTATCGTTATGGAATTTGCTGGTTATAATTTTTCATATGAGTACTACTGAACTGGAGTTGTTTCAGTCATTTCCTTGTACATATATATATACATCATGCACTTGTAAAATCCTACACAAACATCAAATATTCAATACATATATAAATGATTCTAACAATTACAATTATGTTAGGGATTTTCTTCAATGTATATAATTATAAGTTCGAACTGTCAACAAATAGTGAAACGAATATCTTCTTATATTTTTCGCCGGGTTTCAGCCGTCGAGCGAGGAAATAAACATAAACATGTACTTTGTACATTTACAGCTTCGTGTGAATCCCCTGCAAAAAACAAAAGGTATAATTATATGTCTTTGATTATTATGAGTGCAAATAAAGCAGTTATGCCCAGTTTTTAAAAAATGGATACAAGTAGCACACGTTGATGTCATTTGTCGCGTTAAATTTCATTCCATATCTATTCAGAACATTGCAGTCAGCATTTTTCTTTTAATCATTAAGGAAACACATTTAACTTCTTTACCCCAAGCCGTTGTTGTCATTTTAATGCATGATGCTTAATCACTTGCTATAATTTATCAACATACTTTATAGGAGTAACACGACGGGTGTCACATCGGAAGCAGAACATGCTTAACTTCTAGAGCATTTGAGATCACCCCGGGATTTGGTGCTGTTCGTGCGTCTCTTTGTTGTGTTCTATAAACTGTCGTTTTCTTTTTGTAGCTTTTCTTTTTTGACATGACGTTACCAGTTTGTCTTAGACTTTTCAGTTTGAATATCCTTTTGGTATTTTCCGCCCTTTTTATTAAACACTCATGAGTGGATACATATCTTAATCTACGAAGTGGTCTGGTAGAAAAAAGTAAAATCACAAAAATACTGAACTCCGAGGAAAATTCAAAAAGGAAAGTCCCTAATCAAATGGCAAAATCAAAAGCTGAAACATGAAACACATCAAACGAATGGATAACAACTGTCATATTCCTGACTTGGTACAGGCATTTTCTTATGTAGAAAATGGTGAATTGAACCTGGTTATACAGCTAGCTAAACCTCTCACTTGTATGACAGTCGCATCAAATTCCTTTATATTGACAACGATGCGTGAACAAAACAAACAGACACAATAGGTAAAAATGTTAAAAATAGGGGTACAGCAGTCAACATTGTGTAATCATCTTAGTCACTATAAAAACAAACAAATGTAACGAAGAAGCACAAAAAGGCATACATCAAATTTAACATCCTCATTTTGTTTTTTTATTATACGATTTTATTTATCTATGTAAAATCCACCCATAAAGGATGGAAGGTTTTAAGTACTGGCGTAAAATCGCGCGTTTGAAATTCAAACAGGTAGACATAAAATAATTTTGTCGTTCAAAGTATGACGGGATACATAAGTACAGAGTCACGTCAAATGGATATCGCAAAAAACAGACTTAACAGTAAAAGTAATATTAATAAATAAAATAATAATGTCGTTCAAAGTATGACGGGATACATAAGTACAGAGTCACGTCAAATGGATATCTCAAAAAAACAGACTGTATTCTGTATTATTCATTACAATATATTCTGTATTCATAGATATATAGATGTGTATTTATAGAACAGAAAGATAATATATTATGTAGATAGAAAAAGATGTGGTATGAGTGCCAATGAGACAACTCTCCATCCAAGTCAAAATTTATAAAAGTAAACAATTATAGGTCAAAGTACGGGGTTCAACACGAAGCCTAGGCTCACACCGAACAGCAACCTATAAAGGGCCCCAAAAATTACTTGTGTAAAACCACTCAAACGGGAAAAAACAACGGTCTAATCTATATAAAAAAGAGAAACGAGAAACACTTATGAACCACATCAACAAACGACAACTACTGAACATCAGATTCCTGACTTAGGACAGGTGCAAACAATTGCAGCGGATTTAAACGTTTTAATGGTACCAAACCTTCACCCTCATCTAAAACAATAGTGTAACATCACAACATAGAAAGACTCACCATAAAATATCAACTGAAATGGCTTAACTCAATCAAAAGACATATTAACACCCGTGAACATACACAGAACAAATAAATTTGATCTATGATACAATGTAAATACGTAGCTACATCTGTTCTATAAATCTGTATATTTTCTGTCTCTTTCTATAGAACTACTTGAAATTATGCAAGATTATCGGCTATGCGTGGCATTCGATCGTCATTAAATACTTCACATTGTAGCCCTGTCTTTGTTGATTTCCCTAAGGATATTTCAAGGCTTTGTACTACATTTGTAATTGAGAATTGGGGGGATCAATACACCAATGAGAGATCAACCCAAGAAGTCTTTTGCAGAAGGATTAGTTACTTTTCCGTCAAAGTCTATAGAAATTGTATGTCAAATTTCTAAGTAATAATTATTCGATGGTGTATTTGACTGGCAAAGTTTGCCTGTTTAGTTGTCGTCCACATTCATTTTTTCACGTTGACAACGATAAATGTGCAGGAACAAACAGGTTTTTGTAACAATTTTCAATTTGCATGAAAATTGAAAAATGAAACGAACGTTAGATTTTACTGGCAGAAAATAAGTGTGAGAGAATCACAATATTGAGAAGGGCCGCCCATAAAGAGGTTCAAAATTTGCTAGTTAGGTAAAACATCGCTTGCCTTTTAAAGAAATCTTAGTCTAGTTGATATGAATGTTTGTTTGATCATGATTCGCCAACGGTCGAAGATTTACTACTATAAATGTACATACTAATTGTTTTGTTATAAATTAGGCCGTTAGTTTTCTAGTTTGAAATTTTTTCATGTCGGGGCCTTTTTTAGCCGACTAAACGGTATGGTTTTTTTTCTTCTCATTGTTGAAAGCTGTACGGTTGCCTATAATTGCTTACATCCACTTTGAAATTTGGTGGATACTTGTCTCAATGACAATCACACCACATCTTCTTGTTATATTACGCATTTAATGTTGTAATGTTTCATGATGCAAAATCGTTTATTTAAAACGTAAAATATCAGGACACGTTTCATTCTATAAACATTAACTGACACGTGCTTGACCCAATTGCAATGTCAAAATCTAATAACATCGAGCATGTGACAGATATAGACAAGTTTGACGAAACAAAATATATAAAACGAAGTTACAAAAATCGAACGTAAAAGTCACTAATTAACCATGTGTAAATTATTTAAGCAAACCCAATTGCAATGTCAAATTCTTATGACCTTGAGGAATTTATCTCATACTAGTTACAAAATAAAGAAATAAAAAATGACATATTTATAATTGACCTGATACTAAAACGAGGCCCGGCATGCGATATATAGTGACAAGTTTGACGAACCAAATTTATAATATAACACGAAGTTCCAAAAATCGAACGTAAAAGTCACCAATTTATCACGTGTTAATTATTTAAGCGAACCAGAAAATAATACGTTCCTTTAGACAAAATAAAGGCTCTTTCATGTTGAACATACAGAATTGTGTCCTAAGAATACTGATCGTCTTTACAACTTTGTTTTCGAACTAAGAAGACTGTTGATTTTCAGGCTTGACAATTACAGTTTTAATTGATTTATTTATTCCATATAGTTTTTGAAGTTTCCAATTGTTGTCTGGAAATCAAAAATGTTTTTGTGCACAATAACAACCTTGATATAACCAATTTCTACATTCGGACCTTTAAAAAAAAATAAATTGCATTGATAAAAACTCCAGTAGGTGATATTTGTCGGAAAACTTGCTGAATGACTATAATTTGCTAATCATTTTAATATAATATGTTTTCCTAGTGCAATGTATTTAACAAATCTGGAACGTTGATATGCAGTTTAATCAGCAATTTGTACATTTTTCCTTTGATCTTACTGTCTAATATGTTTCAAGATCATTGTCAGGACTTGGTACTCGAAAATATTAGGCAATGACTACACGTGTCAATGCAGCAACGTCGCGCGTTCATGTCCAGCCACGTGAATTTATCAATGAAACAAACGCGACTACATCCATACAACCGTACAATTTCATAACGTGTTGTACGCGTAAAAATAGTTTTACTAACTTTTTTCATTTTATTTCATATTCTGAACAAAAAGAAATACCATATTATTAATACAAATTGCTGATAAAAAGAATAATGACATTTCTTTTTTAATACTGAGATTTTAAGTATAGAACTTATCATGATTCGCCAGCGGTCGAGATTAACTTCTACAAAAGTGTATTACATATTTAATAATGTAATGATTTATAATACAAAATCGTTTATTTAAAACGTAAAATATCAGGACTCTGACACGTGCTTGACCCAATTGCAAGGTCAAAATCTAATGACCTTGGGGAAGTTATCTCAATAGTCGTACTAGTTACACAATAAAGAAATAAAACAATGACACATTTATGATTGACCTGATACTAAAACGAGGCCCGGCACGTGACATATATTGACAAGTTTGAAGAGACAAATTAAAAGAAGTTCCAAAAATCGAACGTTAAAGTCACTAATTAACCATGTGATAATTATTCAAACGAACCAGACAACAATGAGTTCTTTTAAATGAAATAAATGCTCTTTCACATTGTACATACAGAAAAGTTGTCCTAAGAATACTGATATAGTTTACATCTTTGTTTTCGAACTATGAAGAGTGTTGATTTTCAGACTTGACAATTAAATTTTAAGTTAATTTATTTATACAATATAATTTTTTAGGTTTCCAGGTGTGTCTGGCAATTTAGAATGTTTTTGCCTACAGTAACAACCTTGATATAGCCGATTTCTAAATTCGTCCCTTTCAAAAAAATTAAATTGCAACGATGTAACCTAAAGACAATCCCAGTAGGTGACACTTTTCGGGGAATTCTTTGAATGCCTATAACTTGATAAAAATTTTTATTAATATGTTTTCCTAATGCAATGTATTCAACAAATATGGAACGTTGATATGCAATAATTCTTCAAAATATCGAATATTTTCTTCAAAAAAGTCTCATTTTACATGGCAGTTGTACTCTACTCTTTTTATGCAGGTACTACTACTGGCTCTCTAAAATACAATGTCAGACACTCGCGTTCTTCTACACATATAGCATTAAACTGGTATGTGTTGACTTATAATATATTAAATGTAAATGTTTTTGTGTTTGCTTTATGACGTTAGAATACACTATTTGTACCCACCGTCTTTAACTGCTTAGTGGTGATGGCTTCGTCAAAATTAAACACAATTCCGTTTGATGTATTGTCCATAGGGTCAGGGGATAAAGACAGTGTTACTGGAGAATTAATAGCAGTCGACATTCCACTATCGACTGAAACTGAACGTAGAATATGGTCCGCTTTCTTTTCCAACTCTGAATTATCTAATCCAAGGTCTTCGTCCTCTTCGTCAGAACTCTCGCGTGCCACATGCAAATCAGGTAGACTCGATACTGCTCCAATCATAGCAAGTGATGCAAAACTGTTCATTGCTGAGAAAACAGAGCTGATTTTTCTTTTTTTTCCTGCGTGAAAAAAAAAAATGGACGATACGATTAATTGTTTGATAATAACTTTAGTAACTTGTACCACATTTATTACTATAAACTTTTGAAAGAAGACATGTCAAGATTTTAAAGCTTTATAAAGGCAATGTACTTGATCAAAAATTCAATTTTAGGTTGAACAGTTTCAGCGTCCTCCTTGGTTACGTCTTTACCTATCCGAACGTACAAAACGTGTTCCTTTTACCAAATACCATTTGAATTGGTCGAATTTAATGATGAACTTTTGCATCCAAGTAACTTGAGTGGTAAACAAACTGTTCCTTCTTTCTGCAGTTTCTGACTGTTTTCATGTTTTTATACATTCTTCCCACTTATTTTCAAGGTAGAATTTAACAAGTTTGCTTTGTTCGGAAAAATAGCAGATGCAGATTCCATGCGAACTCGAGGTCATTAAAACATCAGTTAAATGTTTAAAGTAACGAATCCTTATATGTGTATACAATTACATGTTGTGGTTACACACGTACAGCAAGATCCCGAAAAGAGAAAATATACAGTGTTGTTTTTCTATTTTTAATTTTATTATTAAAACTTATAACTTAGAACTTATTATATATATAATTGCAATTTTGTTTTAAATAGTGTCAGTCATTTGACTGTTTGGGTCTTGTTGAAAGAGTAAACAAACCACATCTTCTTATTTATATTAAATAAAACCTCTTGAATTGCTTTGATATTTTCTTTCGCTCTGTTTCTCATAATGCACGGTTCATGTCGTGGTTACAGGCCTGTCTAGAAGGTCATTTCCAAAACAACTCGTTTGACCTTTAACTACTATTTGATACATTTTTTTCATGTAATATATTTTTATTAAATCATGAACTTTTAAAAATTTCTAGCTTTTAACATATTTCTAACCAAACCCCATTTCAAAGTTTGAAACAGTTGTTAATTGAAGTGACAAGCAATTTATATCTACGTTTGAACATTGTTCTCCCTAGCATGCAGCGAACCAGTCATACGTGCTTGAAATACGAATAACTTGTAATAAATTAGCATTTGATATTATGGCAAATTCAGGCTTTCGAACACATGCACTTGTCTCTGAAAAAAAAGTTACCTAGTATATATATACTTTATATCAAAGTATATACGTATTTTTTTCAGAGGCAAGTGCCTGTGTTTCGGAATTCTGTATATTTGTAAGCTTTTACCTCGTTTTTTGAAAATATCTATAAAGTGATCATTATTGATTTATAGCAAAAATATACAAGTGAGGCATATATATTAGTTGTCCAAATTCTAGTTTGTTTTAATTATGACATTTCATATAGTAATTACGTAGATGTAAACAGGATATCATGACACATCAAATATAGATGGAATTTTTTGACAGTATTTTTCTGCTGTCAAACTTCAATACAAATTAATAAAACTATAATAAAAATGTCTATTTTTGAACTAGAGTTGAGGTTTCATTACTGAAAGAAATGAATAGACCTGTTTGTATCTTATATGAGTACAAACTTAATCTTGGTTATTTTTTTTCGTACATGTACGTATCATTTGATGACAATGTTTTTTTGCTGTCAAACATAACGAAAAAATAATAAAAATATAATCAAACTATCTATGTTGAACTACATTTGAGGTTTTATCAATAAAATAAATGAACAGATCTGTTTGTAATTACTTAATCCAGAATCATTTTGATTCATACATGTGCGTGTTCTCTGTCATATCGTTCATTAAACTTGAGAATGATGAAATTAATAAAAAATATAATCAAAATTGTCTATTTTGAACTCCAATTGAGGTTTCATTAATGCAAGAGATACATAAATCTGTTTGTATCTTGTTTAGGTACAAACTTTACCGCGAATCATTCTGTTTATACGCGTACGTGTTCTCTGGCAAATCGTTCATAAAACTTGGGAAGGGAGCTTTTAGTCCACGTTTAAAAACGGAATTCTTAACTTAAATTATGTAGAAACAAGAACGTGTCCATAGTATACGGATGCCCCACTCGCACTATCATTTTCTATGTTCAGTGGACCGTGAAATTGGGGGTCAAAACTCTAATTTGGCATTGAAATTAGAAAGATTATAATTATCATAGGGAACATGTGTACTAAGTTTCAAGTTGATTGGACTTCAACTTCATCAAAAACTTCCTTGACCAAACACTTTAACCTGAAGCGGGACATACGGACGAACGGACGGACGGACAAACGAACAGACACAGACCGAAAAACAATATGCCCCTCTACTATCGTAGGTGGGGCATAAACAACCGTTACACATTTGCTATAATTATTGTTTTTAAAATATCCCAAAAGCACAAGTAAATAAAATCATATGTACATGTATTGAAATCGTAAAAATAGAAGATCAAAAGTGAAAATTTAGCCGTGAAAAATGAATGTATCTAAGTGTGTAGCGGATAAGTTATGTCTATGCAATCAAAGTGTTCACTCATTTAAAAAATGATTATTATGAAGACGGTCACATGTAATCGTTTATAAAGAAAAGTGGCGAAGAAGTTAGCATTACACAGTTAAATAGAGTGCAGGAAAAGTTGCATCAGATGCTTACATGCATGTGATGCAATGATGAGTGGATCATTGGGCCATATATATGTCAACCATTAGCGAAAGGACTGAGATATTGTACATACACCGGTATCTGAAATCTGCGGATTGATCCGAATCCCGAGGAGAAATTACAAGAAAAATATACAAACGGTGGGTAAGTTAAATCTGGATCCGATTCCCACGGAGGATTACCGATTCTCATGAGGATTACCGATTCTCATGGAGGATTACCGATTCTCATGGAGGATTACCGATTCCCATGGAGCATAATCCTCCGTCGGAATCGGTTCCAGATTTTACTTACGAATTGCACTAAACAAAGTGTAATTGCTTCTCGGGATTCGGATCTCTCCGCGGATTTTTGATCGGGATGCCTGGTGTGGTACAGACGTTTTACAGTTTTAGATGCTGAGCATATTTTGAATAGACTACTTTACCAATGTCTGGAAAGGACAAATTTGCACCACGCCTTTGATCGGGCCGTGCGTGTATAATAAAGGACCTTCTTATTTATTTTGTTTACTAGTATTAAACAAAAACTCAGATATAGTTATTCAATATGTTCAACATCACCGATGAACTTCCCCAACCAAAAACATTATTGTTTTTCTCTAAGACAACAAAAAGATTTCGTTTCGACAAAATTGAAATTGTCTTTTAATTCTATTTATTTGGAATAATGGTTCATAAGTGCCAAGAATTTCTCACACTTGCAATTTTGAGCCGTCTTTATGAATACTACAATTTGATTTAATGTTACGAAATATGAAATAATGTCATTAAGTATTTATTAAATTCCTCCAAACTGACTAGTTGGTGAGCAAATTATTCCAAATAAATCGTATCACTTTTATCGTCATTTTTTTTACTTCAATTTCCTATCTTAAAATGAAAATGAATGAAGAAAGACGCTAGTTTCTGTCGAATTATATGACTATCTGTGGTGATATGACCTTTAATCTCTCGTCTGATCGATATTGATGTGACATTTATTGTTTAAAAAAGAGGTTTAACGACAACTGCTCATGATTTTTACTGCCATAAAACATAAAAAGGTCAACATGAGACATTCAATCGGTCATTACTATCGACGTATGTTACCGTAGATATTGTAAAAAGGCTATTTTGAAACTTTGATGTATTCATTGTTTGGAAGCACTTTGAGTTTGCAATTATATTGCAAATTATATTGCAAATTACGTGCCTAAAAATTGAATATCTACAGCAATATTTTAAAATCAAACGAAAAAAACTTCATTGACTTCTGGTCTCTGTGTTCATATATAGCCAACGAAACAAGGTAACAAGAAATAGAGGTAGGTACTCGTTCCCACAGTTTTGAAACTGTTTTTCTTATCCTCATCTTCAAGCAAAACGACCCTTTTGGTATCATCTCGCGTATTATAATACTTCAAAATGTAATACGTGTACATAACATCTACAAGGCTGTGAAATCTTTAGTTTTGAGCGTTCCTAATGAAAGTAAATCTAGATGACGCTTCATGTGCACCAACTTGATACAATGTTATATTCATTTTGAAGAGGGACGAAAGATACCAGAGGGACAGTCAAACTCATAGATCGAAAACAAACTGACAACGCCATGGCCAAAAATAAAAAGACAAACAGACAAATAATAGTACAGATGACACAACATAGAAAACTAAAGACTAAGCAACAAGAACCCCACCAAAAACTGGGGGTGATCTCAGGTGCTCCGGAAGGGTAAGCAGATCCTGCTCCACATGTGGCACCCGTCGTGTCGCTTATGTTATTACAAATCCGGTAAATAGTCTAATTCGGTAAGTCACATTCGTGAAAAGGGAAGGGTATTGTAGTTATGACATAAGGAACATATCCGATATCATCTGTGAAACGGTTATTCCATAACGGTCAACCAACTCGTGATGGCGTCCGTAAAATTTACGAAGGGATGATTTCAACTTCACCATTTGGAACTCTTGGCTTAATAGCTTCCTTGTGAGCAGCAATCCTCTATCAAGGAAATCATGATAGGAAACACAAGCCCGGGAATATCGTATCAATTGGGAGATAAATACTTCGTATGCAGGCGCTGCTGGAATGTTGCTACATAGAAATGGAAAGTTCACAATTGGGAAGCTGAAATCATCTCTTTTGTCGTAAAGTTTTGTTTTCAACCGACCCTCATTGTCAATTTCTAGATGTAAGTCAAGATATGAGGCAGACTTAACTGTATCTGTAGTATCCTTTATCTCTAGTTCGATGGGATAGATTCGTTCAACATAGTCACAACATTTTGTATTATTTAGTGAGAGAACATCATCTTTATAGCGGAACGTAGAGTTAAAGGATATTGCTAACTTCTTATCTTTCTCCCTAAGAAGTTCCTGTATGAAGTCAGCCTCATAATAATAAAGAAACAAGTCGGCAAGAAGAGGGGCACAATTGGTTCCCATTGGAATTCCGACAGTCTGTTGAAAAACACGTCCTCCAAACGTAACAAATATGTTGTCAATCAAGAAATCAAGCATCTTGATAATGTCAGTTTCAGAGAATTTTTTGTTTGAATCAGAGTGATTCTTTACAAAGTAGGATTTATCCCTCCCTAAGTCAAGATACTTGTATCTACGTTCGCCATTCTTTTTAATGAAACAAAGTAATACCAACTCTTTCAATTTGTCTTTTAGTTTGGAATGGGGAATACTTGTGTAAAGTGTAGAAAAGTCAAATGTTTTAATACTATTGCAAGATGAGAGAGTCTTAGATTGTATGTACTCTAAAAGATCTTTGGAATTTTTTAGTATCCACATCTGATTCACGCCACCTCTAGAATAGGCAGTTTCACAATAACTTTGGAGCCCGGCTTTGATTGCTGATTGTCTTATCCCGATACTTACCTTTTTTGGTCTATTTAGGTGTTGCACTACTAGTTGTTGGACTAATTGGGTATTAGACTAAAGATTGTTGGCATATCGGTGCGACTACCTTAGGTTCGTGTGTTTTCTATATTAAAAACCTCTGTATATTCCATGGAAAAGCGGAAAGGACATATTTTGGTAAATGAATTGACAGAACTAATATTAACTGAAAATTGCTTGGAATGTTTAAAGTCAAGAAATAAATTGCGCTCCACCTACGTAAAAAAGGGCATTTATGATCCTGAAGGTAATATCTGAACTAGGCAATACATGTACAAAAACAATGAAGCTGGTATACGGACTATCACGAAAAGACATGTACGAAAAGTTTTACAATGTTATGATATGCATAGACTGTATCAGTTGCTTGCAGGGTAAGCGCATTCGAAGACTACATCGCTAAACAGGCCACAGGGTCATTACCGATTAATATAAGTAAATGGCGTCATGAGTACTTAAATTATTAAATAAATGGGTTAACTACCGTAATACATAATGCCATGTCAGAACAACACTGTTTCTGTCAAATTATATCATATTTGTACATTTTCTTACATACTGTTATACAGAAAACAGCTGAAACCTTGTAATTGTTTTGTGTTTTTTATATGTTTTATTTAGTTTTTTTCATATTAATGGTGACACATTAGTAAGTGGATTTGATAATGACAGAAAAAATCTGACACAGATTTGAGGTGAATTCACTTACACAATCATGACTAGTTAAGAGAAATATTCAGCAAAAAATATGCATTCTTTGTTATGATCTCGAAAAAAATAAATAAATCAATTAATTATTGGAACTGACGAAGTTCCTGAACTTGGACGGAACGGAACGGATGAAAATGTAAATTCTCTTTTGTTCCGACGTTGGAAAGTTCCGGGCGGAAAGAACTAACTAGCCGCAAAGTTCCGGAGGAACTTATTAACTAGTTACTTTGTTCTTCCTCTGGTTTAAAAGTTCCACCGGAACAAAGTGACTAGTTGAAAAGTTCCAACGGAACATATCAACTAGTTAGAAAGTTCCTTTTTGCCAAATTAGTCAAAACCGGAACTTACAAACTAGCCCAAAAGTTCCAACGGAACTTATCAACCAGTCACAAAGAATTGATGCAAAGAACCACATGAGGAGGGGGATATTCTTCCATCTCTTGAGGGTACTATGAATACTAAATTTGCATGATAATGCAACTTATTCCGTTTTATGTGTGAAATACAACTTAAATTTTGCATATTTGTCCCCAAAGAAACCCCTTTCAGTGCGTTGGGTATTCCTGTAAATTAATGATTTGCTCTTATATATACTGATACTCATTCTTCCCCCTCTTTCTACAAAAAGGACGAAATATGGTATATTCGGAACGATGTAACTAGTTGTTCTGTTCCGACAGAATTATTCAACTAGCTACATTGTTCCGGGACTTTTCAACTAGCTACTTTTTTCCGGAACTTTTCGACTGCACTCGGAATAAAACAACTAGTTTGAAAGTTCCATCGGAACGAAATAACTAGTTGAAAAGTTCCGCCGGAACAAAGTAACTGACGGAACATAGTGGCTGTTACAAAAACTGTTATTAGAAAGAAAACAAAATCACCCCTTTACACTCTTAAGCAAGACAAAACAAGACGATACGAAACGTACATAGGATAAAAACCTTACCAAAGGGAGCACATGACTGTATTTCTGTTTCGTTTGCTCCATATTTTATACACAATCCTTGTAACTGTCTTGTTTCTGTCTGCAAATATAACAACATTTATTTAGTTTAAATCAATACTCAGTCGGTCGTCTTGAACATGCATGAAATACTTGCCACTGGTCGTAAACAATCAATAATAAAGCAATATTTAGCATCGGTAAACATGTCGGATAATAACTTGATATCATATTACTACTGATGAAAGAAAAGTGCATGACGTCAAAAGTTTCATAAGTTTCAAATTTATTGACAAAGTTTGGTTTATATCGTGGAATAATGATTAGTAATCGCTCCGACAAAATATAAAGAACTGTTTCTATATTGTTTTGCCCTTAAAAAAGATATTTAATAACAACTTAAAAACATTGATGAATTAGGGAGCTACCATTTGATTTTTATGGGGGAGGGCTAGGATGAAATTTGAAAAAAAGGCAGGACAGGAGTTTTGAGAAAAAAAAAGGCAATGTATGTAAAAAAAAGTCAGGATAAACTAATAAAAAATAGGCAGGACCGTATAGAGTGAAAAATAAAAAGGAAGGAGAGAGATTACAACTTAAAAAAAAATGCAGGACAAATATTTCATCCCCTTGCCCCCCCCCCTCCCTCCCATAAAAATCAAATGGTAGCTCCCTTACCCTGTAACCGTCTGTTTTAATCTTCATTTCGTTTGCTCTTTTCACTGTTCGTCTGTATTGCTGTTTGACTATTTTAAGTTGTACCAAATCTTTTTCTTGTATTACTAAGACAAAGCCTAAAAGCAAATGAAACTTCTTTTTAAAACACGTGTCTAAATACATGTACATTCTCTTACTCGAATAGACTCACTAAGATGCAACATATCATAAAAGGCTGACATCTTCACTATGACAAAACCTTTATTGCCGGAAATTCTTAACTTTCTATTTTGAATTAAAAAAAATGCCTTTTTTTTCTTTTTTTTTTTATAATTTCACATGTTTTTAAGTCCGTTTTACACCAAATTGGACAATATCTTTAACCGCAATCCCTCCTAATTTCAAGTCATGACAGTATGACTTTTGACCTACAATGTTCTTTAATCATGATTGAAATAATTCGTCCTCGGTAAAGATTGAATGTAAGTCAAAATTGTTTGTACCTGAAAATATATCGCATACAATCACGTACTATATACCTTTCACAACAGTGTTGTAAGGGGATAATTAATTTGTGATAGTAAGCATAATTTTTCATATAAAATGATATATAGCCTGTTGTTTAACTACTTTAATTTTCCATTTTCTCTGTCTCTATTAAATAAAGAGTCCCATCTGAGACAATCAGCGCGCGAATAATGGACAATTTTTTTCATTTAAACGACATAATAGTGTAAGATTTTAGGTATACATGTGTAACATTTGTTTATACCATTGGCGGTACTGCAATTTATGTAAATTCCTTACGTCTACTTCGGAATATTAACGGCACGGCACAGTTATTAAGAACTTAACTTACTTTTGCAAATAAGAATAGAAAAAAAAAATGATTTTTTTTAATTTTTTTTTAATTTTTTCGCAAATTTCGGAATATTTGATTAAACTTTACAGCTGCTATTAAAAAAAGTATACGACTACCATACACATATATGTTGTATCATGCTTTTAAAAAAATACTTTGATGATTTTACATAAATAAAAATGCTGATTGAAATTTAAATACAGTGTCGACTGTTGTTATTTTACTAGTAGAAAAAAAACCACTGCGAATGTCTTTTGAGATATTGGAAATGCTTGTCCTTCTGGAGCACATGAGTTCACCGACAGTTTTAAAAGAGCTTCTTGTTGCTTCGTCGTTAGTTTTCTGTGTAATTTTTGTGCACTGTATGTTCCTCTTTCTATTTTGACCATGGCGTTGTTTGTCTTTTTTGATTTTATGTTTTTGATTGACCTCGTATCATCGTCCTTTCTTTGCATAACAGTTCCAGCATTCTAGGCTTACACGTACAAGTCAATCGTTTTATGGATTCTTTACGTCTAGTTTACACATGTAGTGCAAAATTATTTTTGTATAACAGTCTTGAGATTTTTTCGAAGTAGTATTGTTTTCAAGTTTGAATCTTTTAGAGTACATATTGATTTACTAGTTAAATTCATAATTCTGTTAAAAGAAGAGAGTATTTACACTACCTTGGATGTGAAGACTTTATAAGCAACATTAGATGCCTAAACGCTAAGTAATTGGTGTGGTCAGACTAAACAACGATTAAAAATTACTCTTATATATATAAACGATATTTTTTATTGTCAAAATCTTATTTCGGGTCCGATTTTAATGAGATTTCTACTATTAAACTCATCAAAATGTGGTTATTTTGAAATATTTTTAAATGATATGTCATTGCTGAAAAATCATCAGGCATATATTAATATTGAAAATAAGTGTAATATTTTTCCTAAATAGCAATTTATCTTATTTTTCGTGCAGAAATTCGAATTTGTCTTTAAACAGTTATTTTTCTAAAAGTATGTGTCATAACAATACTTGGTTTCAGCGGTTGTCGTTTGTTGATGTGGTTCTTAAGTGTTTTTCGTTTCTCGTTTTTTATATAGATTAGACCGTTGGTTTTTCCTGTTTCACTATTCATTTTGGGGCCCTTTATAGCTTGCTGTTTGGTGTGAGCCAAGACTCCGTGTTGAAGGCCGTACTTTGACCTATAATTGTTTACTTTTTACACATTGTGACTTGGATGGAGAGTTGTCTCATTGGCACTCATACCACATATTCTTATTTCTATTGGTAACTACTGTAAGAAATTGAAGTAATTTCTGAGTGTAATGGTAAAATTGAATTCAAATCGGACAAGAAATAACTTGAGGAATTTCTGTTTGAAATGTTTTTTTTTTTATATGAAATATATACCGGAATGATCAAGTTGAAACACTTTTGACCATTGACTGTATATAGTGAATACGTGATATTTCTGTAACATATTTAAGAAACTTTGTGGTCAAAAAAGCAAGGGTGAAATTTGGATGTATAATCATTTGTAAAAAAATAATTAATTAGCTGCAAAAAATTGCCAGATTGCATTTTTCATTGTTTAATTAGTCAAATAAACGAATCAACTCCGGAAATCGGTTGAATTTTTTATTTTCTATTTTCATTTAACAGTATATTTTTTTGACACTTGACGAAAACAAACTGTTGAAATGCTGAAAAGGATGTATAATGCTAGCTACTATAAACATTACGCTAAATTAATATTTTGTGTTGCTTATATGATATACTACTAATTATTAATTTCCCACAAATATGACACTTGAGGCAGACTTGTGTCTATGTTACGTTATAATTGCATGTTAATGTGTTCTTTACTGTCAAGCATATGAAATGTTAACAAAATATAAATAATGAAAAATGAACTTTTGGTCTGCGGATCGGATGTTTGACCTCAAAACGACGAAATTTGACGCGTACCAGAAAACAACCGGTGGAACATGTTAAAGAGATCAGCATTCATTAAATTAAAGTATGAATTTGACAAATTACAAGTAAACATTGAATTGATTCATATATTTGCTTGAATAGCCACTATCAGCCCCAAAACTGTATATTAAATAAAAGTATTTTCATGTTCATATTGAGCAAAGAGAACGACGATCTTATTGCACTGTACTGTATAACTGCATTTAAGTATATCATTGACCTCGATTCAAGCTGATTGATCTAATATATGTCGAGTATTTAGTCACGAAGTATAGAAACAATGGCTAAAAGTACAAAGTTTAACTAGTTTGTGAAATTGTAATGCTATATATTAATGCAGTCTATTAGTTTATGGCAATTGTGAATAAAGAGTAAAATAACAAAAATACCGAACTACAAGGAAAATTCAAATCGGAAAGTCCCTTATCAAATAGCAAAATCAAAAGCTCAAGCATATCATACGAATGGAAAACAACTGTCCTATTCTTGACTTGGTACAAGCATTTCCTTATGCAGAAAATGGTGGATTAAACCTTGTTTTATAGCTAGCTAAACCTCTCACTTGTATGACAGTCGCATAAAATTTCAATATATTGACAACAATGTGTGAACAAAACAAACAGACATAATAGGTAAAAATAAGAGGAAGGTTAAATAATGTGTTTTGGATATACTTTTTTTTGCATTAAAACATATCAACTTTTGAAATTTTATTTGCGATTTGAATGCTTCTCTTTGTAAATCATTGGGGGTGTAAAATCGTTGACAGAAGCATATTTTTTATGACGCTAAAAATGTGCGCACGATCAACGTGTTTACAACCCTATGAAATTACAAAAAGAAGCATTCAATTTTTATAATTATATTTGTATGCTACAAAGTACGAGTTATAGCAATCTTTTATTTGTTTTCCTAAAAGTTGCATTGTTGAGAAGAACGTGTTGTCACGAATGTTGAAGTTTATTGAGAAATACAATTTGATATTGAAATGCCTCGCGATTGCCTTCAACCAATCAAAAGTACGATTTCTTATAAAACATACATGTCATGTAATTATTTAAGAATTGAATGCTTCTTTTCATAATTTTATTAGGGTGCAAAAGCGTTGACCGAAGCATATTTTGTTTCCGCGCTTCATTCTAATATTATGAGCACGATCAACGTTTTAACAACCCTATAAAATTTTAAAAACTTATGATAATTACATTGTTATGCCACAACTATGAAACTATAAGAGTTATATCAAGATCTTTGTTCCTTTTTTTCTATGATTTTTTTTAACATTGTCACGGATAGCACGTGCAGTCATAGCTGTTGTATATTTCATACGGAAATAAAGTATGAAATTGGAATGCCTCGCAATTGTGGTCAGCCAATCAAAGTAAATGATTCAAAGGAAACATACATGTAATGTATTTATTTACATTTGTTTAATTTACATTTTGTTTATGCCTTTCTCGTGTAACCACTACTTTATTCCTCATGACTGTCGTACAAAGCACAAAGTATAAAGGAACTGCCTTGGGTTAGTACATTCAATTTCTTCCTAATTGCTTTGCAGATATTGGATGTTCGTTGAGTATTTCCAGTACGAGATATAATTTTAAATTTTACTGTATCTGCACTACATAGTACATTATTTGTACGGCATGGTGCAATCGTAATGATATGGTTAGCTCATCATATACTATATAAACGGCAATATAACACGTCGTTTTGTTCCAATTAAGATTCAAATGTAAACAAGCTTTTTGAATAACAGGAAATGTAAACTATATTTCAAATACCAAGCAAACAATAGAATTAAACTAAAAAAATAAAAAGGTTTGATTTATCAGATCGACGCATTGGCGATCATACCACATCCTCTTATTTTTATAAATTGTACCGCATTGGTGACCTCCTGCTAGAGTGTTTGTCTCGAGTGCGGGAGGTTGTGGGTTCGAACCCCGGCGGGTCAAACCAAAGCCTTTAAAATTCGTATTTGTTGCTTCTCTGTTCAACACGCGACATTAAGGAGTAAGAGTAAACTTTAAAACTGGTCAGCTCGAAGTCAGAATAATGTATCTCCGGGTATAAGGTGACATGTCTTCTTGCAGACTGTTACCTGGTGCCCAACCCTCCCCTAATCTATGACAGTGGCGTAACAGTACAACATAAGATCATTACATTTTTATGACACAACCATGAAACTAAGAGTTATATCAAGATCTTTGTTCCTTTTTTCTATGCATTTTTTAACATTGTCACGGATAGCACGTGCAGTCACAGCTGTTGTATTTCATACGGAAATAAAGTATGAAATTGGAATGCCTTGCAGTTGTGGTCAGCCAATCAAAGTAAATGATTCAAAGGAAACATACATGTAGTGTAATTATTAACATTTGTTTAATTTACATTTGTATATGTCTTTCTCATTCAACCAATACTATATTCCTCATGACTGTCGTACAAAGCACAAAGTATAAAGGAACTGCCTTGGGTTAGTACATTCAATTTCTTCCTCGTTGTTTTGCAGATATTGGATGTTGGTTGAGTATTTCCAGTACGAGATATAATTTTAAATTTTACTGGATCTGCACTACATAGTAAATTGTTTGTACGGCATGGTACAATCGTAATGATATGGTTAGCTCATCATATACTACTATATACTAGTAAACGGCAAAATAACACGTCGTTGTGTTTCAATTAGGATTCAAATATAAACAAGCTTTTTGAATAACAGGAAATGTAAACTATATTTCAGATAACAAACAAACAATAGAATTAAACTAAAAAAATCAAAGTACTGAAGTACTGAACATCGGATGACCACAAGTTCTTGAGGATGGTCAAAAGCACTTGTCTCAGAAATAAAACAACTATCTCTTTACCTAAAACTGAGGTTAATGTACAGAGATATATTTTTTTCTGAGACAAGTTCGTGCGTGGATGATGAATAAATGACAGGAAATTCAACTTCACCGTAATAACTATTATATTGTAGTGATACAAATCAGTATACACTGAGTTGTTGTTTATATTATATTAAAATAACAGTTACATATATATATGATTTGAGTCCATTTGTATATCATTCTATTCTACTATTCTAAAAATAGTGCAATGCAAGTGCATGGTGGACACTTTTCTGTAAAAATTCGATTTTTCTAAGATTGGATACGAGTAGGCATTCATATTTTCCCGCAAAATCAATTACAGAGTTACCGGTCCTTGACGGTATTTTCACAAAACGTTCTTTGAGATATTCTTCCGCATGCTTAAACACAATTTTTCGGTACGTGTGCATTGATATTATCAATGATTTTTTACTTATATATATATATCTAACCACAAAACATTTTCATATTATTAATTTATGTTGTAAACAAAAATATTTTTATCAGTATTCATTGAAGAGATGTATTTATATCAAACGATAAGGAATGTTATTTTGCACTCGTTTATGTGCGCGTATTTTTCATGTTTATAGATCGGTTACAAACCCAAAACTAATTTACATAATGGAAATCTAGGCGATAGCAATACATCGGGATGACCTCAAGGTCATCGCGATGTAATAAAAAGGTTTGATTTATCAGATCGACGCATTGGCGATCATACCACATCACATTTTTATAAATTGTACCGCATAGGTGATCTCCTCCTAGAGTGTTTGTCTCGAGTGCGGTAGGTTGTGGGTTCGAAACCCGGCGGGTCAAACCAAAGCCTTTAACATTCGTATTTGTTGCTTCTCTGTCCAATACGCGGCATTAAGGAGTAAGAGCAAATTTTAAAACTGGTCGGCTCGAAGTCAGAATATTGTGTCTCCGGGTATAAGGTGACATGTTTCGTGCAGACTGTTACCTTGTGAGCAATCCTCCCCTAATCTAGGACAGTGGTGTAACAGTACAACATAAGAATTAACTATATAGATCAGTTGAAATAAGCTTGACTCATTATATTGACACAAAGCGCACAAGAACAACTACAATTCAAGATAAAGATTTAAGACACAAAGTACCGATCTTTTATCCAGGAAAGTCAATAACAATCTCTGAATATTTTAATGTATCTATCGTTCACCTCTCTTAGACTATATTTCATCTTATGGCATGTGTTTACGTTAATCATTGATTTAAAACAAATTGTTTTGTGAAAGTGTTTGAAACTTAGTTTAACTTAACAGTTTATAAAGTACTATGCAAATTCGTAGCATCTTTCGTTTGTTGTCTTGATTACTAGTAGTATCTTAAGTAGATTGCTTCTTATTTTTAAAATTTTCTTGTCTAGTATCCTATTATGTTATCAAAACATGTAACCGATGACGCTCATAGATAGGAGTATCTAAAACATCGTATTATAAACATATTTAAGTTCTTTAAGATACGAGCAAAAATCGAAATTATACAATCCTAGTCGGTTATAAATTTCGTATTTTTAGAAGATTTAAGCTTCCTGCGGCAAAGAAATTACATATATAGCTTCGGATTTTCTATTTTAGATCTTCGTTATGATGTTGCCCTGAAGATTTGTTTCATGATGTTCTGAGACTATCCAGATATTACTGCTGGGGTTTATCTAGAAAAGCGATGCAACTGCTAAATGATATATTGGTATGATTGACACAGTATAGATAACATCATTCTACTATAATTTCTTAAAACATCTATTAGAAAAACAGTTTAGTTTGTTTCTTTTAAGTACTTACTATTTACAATCCTGATGACTCTCCATGGTAAGATAAATATAAGGATAGTGGCTGCTTCTGTTCCAGGTTTAGCCCAAATACCATCATAAAATGCTATATCTAAACACCACGACACTGTCACAACAAAGGCATCAAACACCTACGGTCATTAAAATTCATTAATTCTATTTTGTCAAAAGTTAATATAGCATTTGTTAAATAGTCAATTGGTTGCTTCGATGAACTTTAGTTCATCGTTGGTATTTGGTGAGATTCGGGATGCTAAATCTTTAGCTTTCTGTATAATGTTTTGTGGATATATTTTTCCGGTTTTTCTTTTGGCTATGTTATCTGTCCCTCAACATACCATTTTGATTTCGCCTAGTCTCATTTTTGTTGGCATGGCAACATAAAGAACTGAAAGACACCCAGACATGTCGATTTTGAATACTACATTGCACGATAATAGTTTGAATGCATGCTATATTTTGTACTATTTTGTTTACTTAAATGTCAGGCGATTTTATAAAATTATACCTACATTTTAAGAAGATGGACGAAAGACACATTTTGCAATCTTTATTAACTCACCTTCGAACAGAGCGGTACACTTATTTTAAAACTAGTTGTAAAAGTATACTTACTTCTAACCTGTGATGTAAAAATTTCTCTCCCATTACAAACATTTTGGTGAAAGTCTGAAAAAGATGTTTAAATTTTACATTTTTATTTTAAAAGAAACAAAGTAAAAGTTTAAATGTCTTATTTCAGCTTGTTTGCTAAGAGTCACATACATGTATGTATACTATGACGGAGGCTTAACATGTAGGAATCATGTGGTTAGTGCGAATATACTATCTCGTTTGCAGCAAAGCACTATTTTGAATGTTCATAATGAGTTTTTGCTAGGGCAAGATATTAATCATAATAAAAGTCTATGATACAGCAAACTAACGACACACATAAAAACAGACAAATGTGAAACATCTGAGATGCCACTAGATCCGTCTTAATATACAACAATTAAACAAACATTGTCAAGACTTCATTTATATTTAAGTTAAAAATTAAAAAAAAGATATTAAATAAAAATGACCGGAATCTTCATAATGGCACGCATTGTACGTTTTTATCGTAAATATAGACATTTCTTGAGGTATTTATGCAAGATTTTCCTTGCTTTAAATAAAACGAAACATTTTATTACTCCACTATACATGTAATGCTATATGTTGTTAGTACCTCAACCACGAGTATTGAAAGAATAACCATACTCCCTAAATGAAACACGTGTGTAAGTTCCTCCAAGAGTGTGTGCTCGTGGTGGTCATGATCACTTCCTCCTGCGGATGCTCTTTTTACCCGCCGATGGTGTTTATTCATACTTAAAATTCTCCGTTGAAAGAATGAGCCTGTACCTTCCGGTAAAATGTGTTTCCATTGTATAGCCTCGCTTTCGACATCCCTTAAACCATGAGTATTGCTATGAATGTCATAGTGATGGTCATTAAAATCGGCAGGTGGAGAACTATTACAATCATCAATCGTTTTTAAAATGTCTACAATTGATTTAAGCGATTTGGTTGTGTCTGTCCCATTCAAAGCTGGGCATGCACTGATAAATGTTGTTGTTGCTTCCGTTTCTAATACTTCGCTATTGTGAATTTTTTCTAAAATGAAATATATTATATATTTATTACATATATGATATATGATTATATGATTTACCTTTATCAGGAACGCTCAATGTCGGATATTTGAAAGTCAAGGAGGTATAAGAACCGAAACAATTTAGATACTAAATAATGACCAAAAAGAAAATAAAAATTATAGCCAAATTCATCTAAGGTCAACTTTACCTGAGGGCAAAATTCCATATAAAAATTACTTGGATTGCAAAGTTAAATGATATACATGTATATATATGTATGATTTATTATTAGCATACTATTTTGACTGGATGAATAATACACGCGTACGCACCTGTCATTATGAGTATATCACAGATGATCTGACCAAGGACACACGAAGCATCTAATGCGCTGAGTACGCAAACGGTTATAAGAGCAACGTGGGTATGCAACAATTGGGATACCCGTCGACGACATCTGAAAACAAAAATGAGTAGATATTTAATTGATTACATGAAGTTTACAATTTTAATTCTGAAAGCATGAAAAAAAAAAACTAAACAAGAATCAAACATCCCTTCCCCGAGTTAATAAATAAAAACGCAGATTATAAGATGCGTAGAAATATCTAATGGACAAGAATGAACAATCACCACTTACAAGACCTAGCCACCATGATATAGCCACTGTCGCTGAAAGTGGCGTTTGACACCAACAAGCAAACAAACAACACATAACTAACAACGAAACGGGTTGTTACAGTAGATGGTAGTGCTGCTATGGAAAGAGACCCTCGGTGGTCGAGTTGTCTAAGTAGTTCATCTATTGCAATCATATGCCTGTCATCACTGAAATTTTGAGTTTGAACCACGTGCGTTTGATTTCGATCTTGATTGACAAGGTTTGCCAGTTTCCCTGAGGTAGGTCGATGGTTCTCTACGAGCACTCCGCCATCCATCAATAATAATAACTAGCCATCACGATATAGCCAAGAGTGCTGAAAATGGCGTTTAAACACCAGCAAGCAGTCGTTCAGTCTGAGTATGTTATCTGTTCTCTGCTTCTTCCAATTATGTCGTCCTCTTATCGATTTTATAAGGGTAAATACTTGTACTTCGCTGTGAAAATTCAAAACCAAGGGTCATGGAAACAAAAAAATCCTCTTGTAATTCAATACATTAGATAGGTATGAACGGTTTATCAGATTTTCTTTACAGAAGTCCTAAACAAATATTGCATCTTTCATAAATAATATGTTTTTATCTAATGTATATAATTGATAAGTCTATACTGTATTTGTGAAAATTTCAAATCATTTACCATATTTGACAAGCTGATTTATATAACTTTTTTATTTGAAATATAATTTTCAATCTTGATGATTTAAATTTAATGGGAATGAAATATTTCTTAATTTTTAAGACCACGTTTAAGTAGCTTGTCCAAAATTGAGTACAACTATTGGTTTGAAGTACGGTCAAATGCACTTTGAAGAAGGTGGATGACCCTGGTTTTGTTCTGTTTAACTATAAACATACATTTTTTAGCATACATGTGCGTCACAGGAAATATACTACTATACAATTCAATATATATTAATGAAAGAGAGTCATGTCTTAAGATATGGACAATTTTTCTTATAAATAATGGGCGGTAATATCTTTAAACAACACTTCAAAGATATAAATGACACCAATAACTGTTCCCTTTGCAAAAATATACATCACGCCCGTCAGATGCTTGCACCTTTTTTATATTATTTTTTTTATTCTTCTAAAATTAAATCGTACTCTGATTTTATAGCAAAACTATGTCATTAACAGCTTTTTGAAATTTATAATTTGTAAAAAGTGTATTTCTAAAATTTTATTATACTTTATGAATGAAATAATTAAGTGTGTATTTTAAAGAATTGGGCGTAGCAGCGGAAATACATTATGCAACAACTTTCAAGTTATAAATTAATCAACAATAATATTTTTACAGTTCATTTCGTGTTGAGATTTTAAATTAATAAAAAGTGTCAAGGCGAAATTCGTTTTAAAAGAAGTTTGCGAAAAACAGGAAATTTAAATCTCGAACTCACAGCTATGTTGACAACTACTCGGTACTATTATCTGACTGAATTATATTAATATAATACCATTACCTTTGACGCGTAATCATATTGTTTTAATTATTCTGGTGATATTATAATGTCCTCTTCTCTGTTCATCGTGTATAGGTGTCGTGCAAATTGCACGGTCGTTGCCCACCTAAACTAGGGAGAGGGTGGGGGTTCGGTCAATCAGCTGGACACCGTTTAAGCAATCGGAATAAATTGGTTGGTATTTTTATTATTTCATTAGTCCCACCTTATTAAGTTCTTATGTTACCAAAGATGTTTTGAAAGTTTTATTGAAATTCAGTGACCGGTCTAAGAAGAATTGGTACATACGCAAAGTGCAGAGGAACAACTAACCTGGTCAACAAAGGACACAACATCCACCAACACCCACAGACATCACAACATAACACAATGGCCTTATTTCAATGAAATTTCATAAAATCTATCTAACAGACACATACTGTCATTATGCACCAACAATACATTTTTTTTTCAAAACCGGATGAATTATTATTTGGGGTTTTCTGCAACAAAGCATGGACTTATATCATATTTATACAAATGGCGAGAGCGGGGTTTTGAATTTGTCAGCTCTTCATGCAGTTTTTCTCTGTTTACCTACTGTTTTGTCAAATAATGCGAAATGTTTAACAAAAGGTCTATAATATGTGACGGAGTCAATATTTTGTAGTTTTACCTTCTATCAGATGAATATTTTGGTGAATTTTAGTAACTCCTTTTAACGTTTAAAGTAAACAGCATTATGATAAACTGCATAAAAATACCATAAAAATTTTAAATTACGAAATACGGTTATGTTGACCAGATAGTCAAGGATAGATAAATGAAATAAGATGGAATTTCAAATTAGTAGACAAAATAAAATTACAGATGCAATTAAAATTCAAGCAACGTTTTTGTAAAGAATTAAACATACCTTTGCAATTATATAATTAATATTATGTAACAAAATGACAGAAAATAATTATAGTGCGTCCAACAACAAAAATAGGTTAGCTACGGTAACGGTACCTCAAACGAATAATCTCTATCATTTGACGTGACAGACTTTTTCAATGCTCATGACGCTAGATAACACTTTAAAATCTATAAAAATGACAGTAACTATGATTATAAAAATAAAAAGATGTGGTATAATTGCTAATGAGAAAGCTTCCCATACATAGTACATACATAATGTGGTGGGGTTAAACATGCTTGCGGGCTCTCAACACTCCCCTGACCTGGGATAATGGTGTAACAGCACAACATAAGAACAAACTATAAAAAATCATTTAAAAAATCATTTGGATGATATATTGGCTCTCAATAATGACGACTTCAGTATGTATACTAAAGAAATTTATCCTGTTGAACTTACTTTAAATAAAGCTAATACTAACAATGACCACTGTCCAAACGTTTCCTCGATCTTGATATCTATATCATTAACGGGAAGCTTAATACTAAAATTTATGATAAAAGAGATGATTTTTCATTTCCTATCGTTAATTATCCATTTTTAGATGGTGACGTTCCCTTGTCACCATCTTATGGTGTTTATATATCTCAACTTGTACGATTCGCTCGTGTATGTAACAACGTATTAGATTTTAGCGAAAGAAATTTATGTATTACTGAAAAATTATTACACCAGGGTTTTCGATATCATAAACTAGTCAAAACATTTACTAAATTTTATCATCGGTATAAGGACATCATTCGTAAATATAACTCAACATGCAGACATCTTATACGTTCGGGTATTTCACATCCAATCTTTTATGGTAATATTCTTTACAAAGCACAAAAATGTCAGTATTCACCTCAAAAGCTAACAAAACCTTTAAACAGACTTATTAAGAAGGGATATAGTTACGATACTGTTGTCAGGTCATTAAAGATTGCATATTTTGGCTTTAATATTGATTCACTTATAGGGTCTTTGCATCGGAATTAAACATATTTATTCTAAAACCAGTTGTTGGCATGACACGGGTTATGTTTTTCTCATATATTATATGAAGGTATAATACTAAACCCCTAACAGGAGGGATTGTGCCTGATATTCATATGATGAAGACATAATCTTTCAATCAGTTTAATTGAGGTCTGGAGCTGGCATGTCAGTAACTGCTAGTAGTCTGTTGTTATTTATGTATTATTGTCATTTTGTTTATTTTCTTTTGTTTCCTATTCTGACATCGGACTCGGACTTCTCTTGAACTGAGTTTTACTGTGCGTACTGTTGTACGTTTGTTTTTTCTACATTGGCTAGAGGTATAAGGGGAGGGTTGAGATCTCAAAAACATGTTTAACCCCGCCGCATTTTTGCGCCTGTCCCAAGTCAGGAGCCTCTGGTCTTTGTTAGTCTTGTATCATTTTTAATTTTAGTTTCTTGTGTATAATTTGGAGTTTAGTATGGCGTCCATTATCACTGAACTAGTATACATATTTGTTTAGGGGCCAGCTGAAGGACGCCTCCGGGTGCGGGAGTTTCTCGCTGCATTGAAGACCCATTGGTGGCCTTCGGCTGTTGTCTGATCTATGGTCGGGTTGTTGTCTCTTTGGCACATTCCCCATTTCCATTCTCAATTTTATTATACCGGTTTCGATTGACAAAACGTATATATATTTCTAAAATGACCTCCATCAAATACGCTCGAGGTCTAAACGACATAAGATATACTCGAGGTCTAAAGATCATCAGATACGCTGAAGGCCTGAAGGTCATCAGATACACTCAAGGTCTGAAGGACATCAGATACGCTCAAGATTTGAAGGTCATCAGATACGCTCAAGGTCTAAAGGTCATCAGATACGCTCAAGGTCTAAAGGTTATGATATACGTCTGAAGTCCTAAAGTCATCAGATACGCTCAAGGTTTAAAGGTATCATGTAAAAAGTACAACAAGATAGAAAGTAAACGGTTTTTATATTTGATGCATACACGTTTGATACCATTAAAAGTTTTTCGAAGAACAGTTTTTATTTATTCTTAATGCACGAAGTCTAAGGAAATTATATAGGAACGCATGTAGAAATAGAGAAAAGGCACTTTTTAGGCGGCAAAATTAGCTCTCAATATGATTAGTGTTTTCCCCAATCATTTCTCCAATTTTTGAATTGAAAATGTAATTATATAAAACATAATCGCTAGTTTAGTTTAAAATAGTCATACAGCATGAAACTGACTGTGAACTCATTAAATTGTCTGATGAACACAAAATATCGATCTTTTCATGAAAAGTTACACAATATATTGGCCAGGAATCAAACATACCCTTCACACACGCAGATATTATACACATAAGTGCGTTCACTGATTATCTATTCGATGACAAAATATGTTGGGGTCGCTTGTGCTATATTTTTATCAAACCATGCAGTACGTGTCTGAAATTGGTCTCGTCTTGACTAAAATCTGGGAAATCTTTCTTATGAGGTCACTACAATGACGCAATTAAAAGCACACAGATCTTCATATTTACTGATATTCACAAGGAAAGTATTCATTGAATATCTTCACAATTTAAATGTTTGCAAAATTGTTTCGTTAAGTACTTTTAGCAGGAAATGTACACAGTATATTTGTAAGGAACGAAGTGATGACAAAAAAGAAAAACGAACTACCAATAATGTTTAAGGATTTGTGAAAACTGGATATTCCCCTTATTTTCCCCCTAGAGTCATTTTAAATGAAAAAGCCTTTGAAACTCTACTGAAATTCATTGTATCAGAGTTTTCTACAACGAATAATTATGGATTCAAATGTAAATGTCTGAAGATAGTTACAAACTTTTATGGATTTGCCATTTTTGTATTTTTTTTAATATAGATATGATAATTTAAGGTTTTGTCAGATACACTCATATTAATTCAATGTAGTTACAAAATATATTTCGGTGATTTTTATTTTCCAAAAATAAGTAAAATGAATTTTGCATTATCAGAATTGTCTTCAGCAACACTTTTTACCACTGAATAACGTTTTGAATGTATGGCTTGAAAAATCTTGCTTTCTCAATTTAGTTCAAGTTTGATTAACTTTCTGATGTTGTCAGTAAGAGTGAAATAAAATAGGTTCAGTTAAGTAAGGATCTTCGCTACTCTGTTTCATAATAACAAACTTTTTTAAAGACTTTTATGAAATGAGAGTATTATGAAAACAGAACTTAAAATGCAAAAAAAAAAAAAAAAAAAAAAAAAATTCAAGATGCGTGTTCTTGTTTTTGAGATATAAGCCATTGAAAAATTTGGCGGGAAATCAATCTTTCTAGATTTTTCAAACATTTAACATTGACAGGTTTTTTTTTAAACTCTGAAAAATAACAAGAATTTTATAAGATTTTCAAAAAGGGGTTTAAAACTATATGTTATAAAGTGGTGAACAGAAAAGTAGGGGTTAGCGGGCAAAATATGCAATGGCACCACATGGATAAAACCAGAGGATACCGAATATCTAACAAAAAGTCAAAAACAAGAGCAGCGAACACCCTTAAGCAGCAACTGGTTTTGACAGTGTTTTTTTCTTATGTTTGACTGTTACATCGTTTTTCCAGGTTGGAGAGGGTTGAGGCATATTTATTTAACTCCGTCACATGTGTTATGTGCCTGTCCAAGCCAGGAGCATGTGGTTAAGTGGGTATCGATCTGCCATGTTTGATTATGTTTATAGTTTACATCTGGCCATTGGTTTGCTCTTTTGTATTGATCCACATTTTGTCAATTTGGGGTCTTTAATAGTTTACACTTTAGGGTTTAGAGTTCGCTGATTATTTAATGATGTTTGGTGACATAAAGTTGTTGTCATCTAAGTCCTTTGATCTTTTATGGATACATATACATATACATGTAGTTGCCTTAACTATATAGGGAACTAATTCATTCCTCCTTAAAGCATTGCGATGCAGAATCATTGATCTTATAATGTTTTATACATTATAAATTAACCTTTAAATGCATAGATGATTATGCATGAGAAAAATTTAGGAGAATATTTCATGCCCTATATTTCATATCTGACAGCGAAATGAGCACTTCTCTGTCAATAATTGAATAAACATGCGTTACATGTGACATTTACATTAACATTCTCAATCTCTAAACAATAGCATTTTGCATATTTATATACTTAAGATTCGTTCTGGGTTTTCAAAAAATAACCTCATGGCTTGTCCTAAAGAGAATTCTTTCCTCATTCCTTATGTATATGTAAGAGTCTAGGTAATTAGCCTATAATTAGATTTTTATAGTTATTAATGACCTAAATTTTGTACTTGAGGACACTGGTATTTTTTCGACTGGGTTCATTCACGTGACATTTGCGATAGAAAATAAAAAAAAACTATTGCGTTTGCATGAAATTTGATACATAAGTATAATTTTTTGTTTTTTCGTGTAAATGGGTCAGATATATATTTGTAACACAACGGTCATGGTGTGTTGATTAGTGAAAAAAAATCGGTCATATATATATAACAAAATGTAGGATGTTTGGATTTAGATCTCATTAAATTTCATATTTGCCATAGAAATAAAGTCTATTATAAATAATTGGGTAATAAAACAGGCACCACTGTTGCCTTGGTACCCCAAGCCCACATATCTGGAGTGGGGATCCCTACCTGATCGTACTTCCGGAGCCCTATCAGTGGAGCCCAGGGCCATATTCTCGGAGCACGGAGCCCAAAAGCATTGCTTCGTATTCCAGAGCCCAGCATGTGAAACCTGGAGTATAACGATGAAATGGGTAAAATGCCGGGAATCCATATAGCCTTCGTCATCTAATCAAAACAAAATCTAATTGAAAAAGCTTTCTTGTAAATAAAAACATATTACATCCAAGTTGGCACATACATAAAACAGGAACAAAAGGACACAATTATCAAACCATTTGTAAACCAATAAATACATCTTACAGCTTTTAATCACAACACCACTTATAAGCAGCTGGAATACTCCAATGTAAGTTCATCATTGGATTTAGGATTCAGGATCACAGAAAACAACATTGGTTTTTTTTGCAACTATTTTCCATGATTGTATCTTAGCAAATGAAAAATAGATTTTCGGTATCACTTGCACATTGCTTGTATGTTATCGTGTTTTTTTTTTGGTGATTAATGCGGGTCCCAGCATCAGGACGACTATTTTTCACTGGTGGATTCAAGTCCATACTTTTGAAACCTTGTTTTCATAACGGACAAATGAAAAATAGATTTTCGGTATCACTTGCACATTGCTTGTATGTTTTTGTGTTTTTTTTTGTGATTAATGCGGGTCCCAGCATCAGGACGACTATTTTTCACTGGTGGATTCAAGTCCATACTTTTGAAACCTTGTTTTCATAACGGACATGATCGCCTAAAGAGGATGTGTTGTCAATAGCATTGGAATTTTACCACCGGTGTCATGAAAACACCTCGTGCGACATGAAAAACCTCATGCATAAAATACAGTTATCGTTTGCTATGTAATAAATTTAATAAAATCTGAGAATTTCAATGATCTTTTGATTAATTATACAAAATCATCACAGGATATTGTGCAAACAAAGCTTAAGGCAACTCATCAATCTTGCAAATGCTATAATGTTGTTGTTTATTTAGAGTAAGATCAAAATAAACAAATGATTTCTAGACGTACTTCGTTTGATATTATTTATACTTTGTTTTATTCAAAATAAATAACAGATAATTATAAACAAGGTGTAAATGAACTGCTGAAAGGTTAAGGTCACAACAGAGTTCGTATGCTCAGTACTTTGTCATTATATGTGTAAAACTTCATTTGTATATCTTTTTAATTTCTTGATTGATGCGTGTTTGTACTTCTAACAGTTGCATGTTATAACACCACCAGATAATGACTCATGTTATTTTTTTCATTTCTTGGTGTATGCAGGTATGCAACTATGGTAGTTGAGATACTCATGAATAAGATTGCAGTGTCCAACGTAAAGGTCAATGTCATGTAAGGTCAAAATGCAATCTTCAAGGCAAGCAATGGACTAATGCAAAAACTTTTAGTCCATCGAAGGAAAAAACAAATAAAGGATTCGCTCGACCTTATTATCTACAGGCTATTCCTGACTATGATTGAACTGTAAGGCATTGGTCATAAGCTCAGGTCATGTAATTGAGGGTCTGAATAAGGGTTCTTCATTTCTTTATTTCTTAACTTTTTATACAATGTTTCTCTATTCTTTATTTATGTTGACCTTTAGTCTCTATTGTTTATAACTTGGCACCCCATTATCCTCTGTTCTTTATGTTTAAGCATCCCATTATTCTCTATTTCTCTATTCTTTATAGTTTTTGGCTTTTTTCCTGCACTTTTTGCCCAGACTCTTCTACTTGTTCGAGTCTGTCACGGAATGATGACCAATTTCTAATCAATATCCTCTGTGATGTTTTTGTAATTAGAATCGACTTTGGTATGCATTATAAACGACGTTCGTATTGAAATGAATATTAAAATGAAATCTGAATAAACGGAGAGTTGGTGTATGCGCCAGGTACTCCCCCACTCCTTAAAAAAAAAAGAATAGAAAAAGAAAAAAACAGAATAGAATAAAAAAACAGAAATACAGGTAAAAACTGGTCTTACATTATTAAACATTATCAAACTATGCAAGAAAGAAAGATCTTTGCATTTCCTTTCAAAGCAGCTTCTGTTTCTTATAAACTTTAACACATACAATAACTTTTTAGAAATGAAAGAGTTTTCATTTGTCTGGAAAAATATCTTTAGTCTAATAAAGTAAAAAAAAAAAATGAATGGAGTATTACGTTTCCCAATAAAAAGTTAAATACCATAAATACCGAACTCCAAGGAAAATTCAAAACGGAAAGCCCTTTATAAAATGTAAAAATCAAAAGCTCAAACACATCAAACTAATGGAAAACAACTGTCATATTCCTGACTTGGTACAGGCATTTACTCATGTAGAAAATGGTGGATTAAACCTGGTTTTATAACTTGCTAAACCTGTCACTTGTATGACAGTCGCACAAAATTCCATTAATAAACGTAACTAAATACATTTTACTTCATGAAGCACAAGGTCAAGAGAAAATATCAAATTAGGTCAATTCAAGAACTTAATCATAAATTGCAATTTATAACATATCTCATCGTTACGACTTAGCTTTTTCTGTCTTGTTCTGTGTCTTGTAAATGTTTTGTTTTCATGTATTACACAACAGACCATTTTCATGACAACACTTAAAGGTTAAAAGTTGAAGGTTAACGGTTGATAAACAAGTGAAATTCTAATGCAGTTCTTGCTGTACACTGTATTCATACTGCAAAAACTGTTAAACTTTGCCATGGGCATAACTTCTGACTTAGTTTTTCAACGATGGCTGTACATCGAATTGTAAATAAAACATTCATGTAAATTATAGCATTATCCCCAAAAGTGTTATATTTACTAAACAGGAAAATGTCATTTTTGATATCATGCATCCAGGTTTTGAGATTGAATTCAGTTTGAACCAGGTTTTGAGATTGAATTCAGTTTGAGCCAGGTTTTACAATGGATTCAGCTTGAACCAGGTTTTGAGATTGAATTCAGTTTGAGCCAGATTTTGAGATTGAATTCAGATTGAGCCAGGTTTTGTGATTGAATTCAGTTTGAGCCAGGTTTTGAGATTGAATTCAATTTGAGCCAGGTTTTGAAATTGAATTCAGTTTAAGCCAGGTTTTGAGATTGAATTCACTTTGAGCCAGATTTTGAGATTGAATTCAGTCTCAACCCCTGTATAAATGATACCAACAAATTTTAACATGCTTCGAAATAAAAAGAACCAACCCTCTTTAAATCTGTGGAAATATGATTTATTCATTAACTGCGATTAAACGTAGATCGGTACTTTGTGTGCCGTTTCTTTTTTAGCTGTTTTTTTTTTAATTATGTGCCGACCTAATAATTCAAGCCTTTCAACTATCTTTTTTACAGTTTGTTCTCATGTTGTGCAGTTACACTATTGGTTAAACATTATAAAGAGGTTTCAGCGCTCACAAATACGTTCAATTCCGCCAATATCTCTTTTTGTCTGTCTCGAATTAGGAGCCCGTGATTCAATGGTTGTCTTTTTTTTTTGCTGTAGCAGTATATCGATTCACATTTGCCTACCGTTTATTGTTTTGTACATAAATCAGACCGTTTCTCTTTTAGGTTAAATGTTTATTTAACATTTCGTCAAGGCATGGCATTTCATAGTTAATTATACTAAAATTGAGAATGGAAATGGGGAATGTGTCAAAGAGACAACAACCCGACCATAGAGCAGAAAACAGCCGAAGGCCACTAATGGGTCTTCAACATAACGAGAAAATCCCGCACCCGGAGGCGGGCTTCAGATTGCCCCTAAACAAAAATGTGTACTAGTTCAATGAAAATGGACGTCCCACTAAACTCCAAAACATATAAATGAACTAAAGTTAAAAAACATACAAGACTAACAAATGCCAGAGGCTCATGACTTTGGACAGGCGCAAAAATTCTGTATGAGTTTTGCTCATCGTTGAAGGCGTATGCTTACATCAACGTCCTTTGGTGATTATTTATCTCATTGGCAATCAGACCACATCTATTGATTTTTATACTTGCAATATTGTGTTTGTGTCCTTAATTGAGTTTATTTGAGGACAGGGAACGAGTATATAGTTATTCAAATTGATCAAAAATGTCGAAGTTAAAGTGTAAATCATTTATCCAACAAATAGTTGTAAGGAAATATAATGTATTACTCTATATCTTCGTGGGAGAGACATTCTAATTAAGAACACATTTTCAAGGATATTAAATACAATGGCATTTATTCAAACAATAAATCTTCTTTAATTAATATTTTGTTGAACGTTTATATAAGTCAATGAACAGTAAGGGGTTTTTGTTTTACATGAAACTTTCTTAATCATGACTAAACTTTGCAAACACCGAAACAGTGGCGACATTACTTTTCTTAACTTGCGTAGCAAAAAGATGACGTTACCACTGTTTCGGAGTTTGTAAACATTGTATAAAAAGAAAATGAAGATTACATGCCTCTTGTGTTTTAGCTACGGGTTATATAAAGTTTTCTTTTTTATTTGATTATACAGAGCCAATACACATTTAAGTAAATTGACAGAATAGCATGCTATTGTAATTTGAAATAACATTTGAAAATATAGGTTTTGGTTAGCATTT